CTGCGTGAGAGAAACGGCAGCAGTGAAGCGAAAGTAAAGGTGTAAATAGCGTTACGCGTTGTCTTGCTTTGTGTTTTTAGTATGTACGTTGTGTTGTGAACTTACATGCGCTATGTCAGGCATCCGCGTGGTCTAATAAAGTGAGTTTTCTTACTTTTAAAGTGAGTTATGCATAATATGTTGAATTAACAAAGATTTCCCATTCTCTCCCAGGTATTGAGACAGAAAGCAGATTTGTATCGGGTACAATTTTTCAGTAACTTCATCCTTGGTGGCATATTTCGCAGCATAGAGAGATGTCCGCAAAGAAGAAAATGAAGAGAAATCATTCCAGAAATGAATTAAAGGTAAGTTTTGCTAGGTTGAGCAGAATTAAAAAAAGCAGGTGTTTTGTTGTTTTACCGTGCTCTTACGGCATTGGCTCTGGAGGTGGGTGCCAGGTGTTAATGCAGGGCTTGCTTTGCACGGATGCTGGGAACTCTGCTGCGCAGTCCCCGCTGGCGCAGATTTGGGGAGCGTGGGGTTTTCTTTTTTCTTTTAAGAGTAGTACATCATCAGGTGAAATGGGCTATTGACTTTCAAACAGGCAAAAGTTTGAAAACAGTCTTGTAAAAAAATGAGAGAAGAGCTTATAGAGGAAATAGTCGATGTGCCTGTGTTTAGTACTTGTGAGGTACTGCTAAGTGCTGGTAAAATTAAAAGCTCAGGAAGTCGGTGTTTTCTGGTTATAATTCCCTCTCCATGCACACACACAAATTACTGAGGGAATTCACTCCCTCGCTTATGGTGTGAATGACACATTTACAAACATTTCATAAACTAGTGCCATTCCCCTCTGCCCTTCTGCTTTACGGAAGTGTCTGTATAATACTTGATTTTAAAATCCCACTTTTTATAAGAAGTTATACTATACTCTTCAATTTTTTAAAGTGAAAATAATTAAATTGTATAAGGGCGGAGATTTATGTAACATAGAGATGAAAGAAGAAATATTTTAAAGCCTGAAAAGAAAAAGGCCACAGATCATAGAAACCAGATATTAGACTGTTGTATGATTTCTAAGCTTATATACTTAGTTTTATAAAATAAGACAAAGCTTGCACTGCAGTACAGTATCAAATAATAGAATATATCAGTAGAATATATTATACCATCACTTCTCTTAGGGGAAAAAAAACACAGCCTGAGGAAAAAATACATGCTTCCATTATTTTATATCATAGCTCAGTAGTCAATATGGTCTTGTTTAAATGTATTTCTAGTCAAACATTCTTGAAATTCATTATCATATTTAGTCTGTTTTACACTTAAATAGCTGGATGAACTAGCTATTAGTCTTATCCCTCTCCAGGAACACAAAGCCCAGCCCCGTCCTCCTGGGAAATTACTTCCAATTGAGGAACCAGATGTCTCAAGGATATTGAAGGTAGCGGAAGCAAATCAACTTGAGGAGCTTGGTGATTCATTTGGTTAGTATTAACCTGAAAGTCATTTGATGTATGATTTTCATCAACAAACCATATGGGCAAAATATTTCAATGCTTACCTAGGAAAAGCTATTGTTTCTTTGCTAGAGAAAGTTATGGGCAGGAGAGACAGAGATTTTTTTGAGCGCGGTGTTACTTCCTGTCATTTAGGAAGTAACGAGAATAATGCTGTCATATGTGCAAGTAAAAGTCAATGGAAAAATACTGGCTATTCAAGTTTTATAGTCTGAACGGTAGAATTCCACACAATATAACATTGCAATTGTGTAAGAATTTACATTTAAATATTAAAGTTTAATATCTTAAGTTATTCTCTGTTATATTACACAAATTATGAAGTGAAATTTTTGCTATTGTAAGCGTATTCATGGCAGCAAACTTAGACATTCACAGGGATGTTGTTCTGCCACTTTCAAATGTTACTTAAAAAAGTAACATCATAAAAACATATAATTTTTGGTGAAGCATTAAAACCACTTGCATGCTCCGTATGGGACTTGTGTAATGAGGTCTCAGTATACTGGAAGAGAATCAATTCAGATGGAGTAGGTGCCCCTGTGTGAAGTCCTCTGTTATTAAACACATATAGCACTTATATGTCAATGCCAGTAAGAAAAATATTTGAAAAACTCTGTAATTAGAAGTTGTAGAGAAAATGCTAAGAGCCGTTTCTCAGCTGTGATAGTTATTACTATAATTACAAAATTATGGAAATATACATGTAACTACTAGAAACAGCATTGAAAATGAGCTATAAAGAACAATATAGCAAAAAGTTTGTCATAAGGGAAAGGCTGGAAAATGAAAAGCTCTTCTTTTCCTCACTTCTGTGGCATGTATGGAAACTATAAAAAGGGTGCACACTAACACTAATGTAAGCTAAAACTAAACTTTTGTGGTGATGTGCTTGAAAAAAAAGATCTTATACTATGGAAGCCGTAGTAAAACCTTAAAGTTCTCAGAGTTCTAATCTATTTTGGTAGCTACCTTCAAGAATTCTACATTTACAAATGTTCTGTAGCAGCTGTAACTGCTTTCTTATAGTGTCTAATAAAGCAGATAAAATCCATATATAAAAAAAAAGGTAAAATTTAGAAAGTAGGTATTTAAATGTATAGAAGATTGATGTATGCCATAGCAAAGCGAGACTTTAAATAAACTCTACAAAATGTATATACTCTATGCCATACATACATGCTGTGCTTTCCTGCACCTTTGGTTTTGGTTTGTAAAGGAATAGCAGGTGGGTGAGTATAGAAACTATGAAGTTTTTCACTATATATATTTTTCCTAATCCTCAAATAATACTTTTAACAAGACTTCATTTGTATTAGTGAGCAAACCACAAATATTCTAACTAAATACTTAATGGCAGGCAGTGCTAGCATGTCCATGCTCTGTGCCTGAACAGGTGGGAACAGTTCTCATACAGCTTATTTTCTGTTCTTTGTAGATCACCCGTTGCACAGTACTGCTGTCGACGCCTATGGAGAGGAACAAAACGAGTCACTTGGTCATGTTTCAGCACTGCAAAGGAAAAATACAGGAAGGAGGTCTGGTGAAAAAAATAATTGCCAGCATTTAATTTAATCTTTAGTTTTTTAGATTAAATGGGAAAAATGTTCTGTTTGTCATGTGTCCCTAGTTGCTTATTAAACAGATGCTTTAACTTAAGATTTCCCAGATGAGAAACCAAAAGAGTAAGTAAGGTTGAGGAATGTAGAAAAGAAATGAGAGAATAAACTAGAGTCTGCCTTCTGTAAGCAGTACATTGATTTAAGTACTTGCTGTATTTTTTTTTAATAAGAAAGGTTTTAAAAATACCTCTGTGAGGTATTAATTAGTTCTCTAAATGCTGGTGTCTAAAGTAAAGAGGTGGAAAAATAGGTAGAAGCCAGTTAAATTATATGTAACAAAGAAAATTATTTTTAAAATCTTTTAATGGAAATTTTAGTATCTTTCTTATTTGTTAAATCAAATTTGGTTTAAATATGAAATAGTTCTTATTTGAATGAAATAGCAAGACAGTAATAGTGCTTCTATGAAAGTACATATTTTTTGGGGTTTTGATTTCCAACCCTACCCCCCACCAAGAAAGCCTTCTCGATTCCCGCTAAAATATCCTCAGTAATAATTGTGTCTCTGTTTCAAAGTTTCTACTCAATACAACATGGCTATCCCAGTGGTCAGCTAGTAATGGATTTCTAAATTGTCGTGAGAGTTACTGTTGAGGGGTAAAGATTCTGTTCCCTTTATATGCCATTTGCAACTTTTTACGTAGTGTGTTTAGGAAACACAAACTAAATGACATAGCAGTACAAAATGTTCCCCAAAACACAAGATTTTGTCATGTATATGGTTGAAGATCATTCTTTCTCAGTGTGTGCTGGGTTTACATGTGGATATTTTTCTTTTCCTAGTAAAAAACCACATTGCTCAAACATGTCTGATGGCGATGTTCAGAAATTCAACACAGCTGATCCTGAAGATGAACGCCTTAAGGAGAATGTGGTATGGAAAAAGTTGCATGAGTATTATCAGTCAATTTAATTTTAGCTTACTTCATGCCATACCTGCACTAGAGCAGGGGGGAAGAAAGGAAGACGTTGCATTTGTTTCTTAGTACTGCCTTAGTACTTAATTGTATCTGAAATAAGTAATCCTCAAAGTATTCCTGTGAGAGGGCCAAGTGAAATGCTTAAAGCTACAGTCATCATGTCAACACCTGGCTATTACATTCCACGTTTCTGGATCCTGTAACCCATTCTCTTGCTTATTTGGCAATATGTTCTTTTCTTCTTTTGAATATCTTCTTCGTATCAGGAACGTATGTTCTTAAAGGGTGGCATACTAAATGGAACATAAACCCTTTGTATTTGTTCAGCATTGAAGTACAACGTATTTATGAGAGAATTTATTTTTTCACTGATAAAATTAATTTTGAATATATATTAGAATTAAACAAAAAACACTCCATTTTGAATCAGTGTTTTTCTACACTTAGACCACAATTAGTGTAAAATGCTTTTGGCCCACTTAGCTTCCAGGCATACAGAGGAAGTTAACTATCGGCAGACTTGAGAAAGTAGGCCTATGATAAAAGAAGCTATGCAGTAGTTTGCATAAAAGTTTTTTTACATACTGAAATTTATTGGAATTGTTGAAAATCGTGTTGCAAAATTCAGTATGGAGTGTTAGTCTTTCATCAGTAAACTGCATGCATGCCGTGCTCTTGTAGAAGTGCTGCTGTTGTCACAAAGCAGCCAAAGTAGAGAAATAATTGGGACAGAACGTGGGTGAAAAGGAAGGCGAGCAGGCGCTGTTCATCAGAGAACTGTTAATACTGGGCGATGACTATGCTGAACTGAGGGTCCGTATGCTGCTTAAAATGTTTCTGCTCCTGCTGCACGGACAGCAGCTGACATGTCAGCTGGTCGGGGCGGTCAGGCAGCTGCTGTCCCTCAGCAGTGTCATTGCTGTGCTCTGATTCTGGCGAAATAGGCCCAAGTAAGTGTTACGGACATTTCAGTCGGGAAATGCTTTCCTTCATTCTGCCTAATGGCCATCTCTCAGAATTTTAAATGAGTAAACTCAGGGGTTTTTTTTTTGGAAGTTAATCTGCTTTTTGTATCATGGAAGGCTCTGAATTCTACTCAATTCCAGGTGAAAAAGAAGCGGCCTTCAGAGAAGACCACATCAGGTCCTTCTGGTAAAGTAGACTTTTTCAAAACTCCTGTGTAGCTTTTCCTCATTCAAGATGAGTGCTTTTCCTTAACTCAATGATTTTCGTTTCTAGTATGTAGTAACCTACTGCTTCTAGAAACGGGGGCATTTGGGTTTCAGTTGTGGTACAGACTCTCATTAGCAATGGTTAAACTGAGGGGCCGATGGGCCACACAGCTCTGATCCCCGTGGTTTGCATCCCCGCACTTGCCTGTTACTCCCCTGAAGGGGTAAAGTAGAGGTGCGCACCACCCCTCGCACGCAGCCTGGTTCCCTTTGGAGGGAAGCCTGGGTCCGTGGGTATGGAGCTGTAAGACACTTCAGTACATCCCTTGGCCTGAAAGCCTGGAGCACCAGCTGTGAGGCAGAATTTGGAGAGTCCCTGACTTACAGCATAGGCACAGCTCTTGGTAGAATGAGATAAGGACCATCAGGACAGTGGTGTGGGATATCTGGAAGACAAGGGACATATTGTGAGCAACCCAGACACACTGAATGTGGACTACGTGACCATCTGAACGCATGTAGAATCATTTTATGTTAACAATAAGCTGAAGGGTATTTTGAGAATGCGATAAAATGTGGGAAAGCGGAGAGAGAGTTATGTAGGGAGGTAAGCTTGTGGGGCAGGAGATAGATAAGCCTGAGAAGCAAGGCCATGGGAGCAGAATCTAGGGGAGGAGTTGTTGGGGGGAGTTAAGCCGCGTGGACAGTAACGCTTAGCAAATCATGTATAGCCGATGAGCGCGTGGACAATGCATGGCACCAATCATAAGCTGAGCTATCGCGTGTTTAGAAAATGCAATCTGTATATTAAGGGCTACTGCTTGCTAATAAAGTTGGCTTTCTTCTGATCATATTGGTCGTGCGAAGAGTCCGTGACTTCCGTGTCACAGTGGCATTTTTTGGTGGAGAGAAGCTGTTGCTCAGGTGTCATCTTGCTTCCTTGGAACGGTACCCCATCAGATTCAAGTACTAGACTTACATTTGGGAGTGCGTGAGGAAACATGGTTTAACTTTTTGTGGAATTAGTTAATAATACTATTGCAAAGTTTAAAGAAACATATTTGCATATATTTTTTTGAAGCATATATGGTATTAATACAAAATGTATACAAATATAACAACTCATGATTCTTTGAGTCATGCAGGTTGCTCAAACTTAGGCTAATAGTTTTTACAGCACAAACAGCTATACCTATAGTGCACTGTGTAGTTTACCAGTGAGTTTACCAACGTGCTCCTGGACTTGCTTGAAATGATGAAGAATAAGAAATAAGTTGTATATGATTGATCATCCAAATTCTAAAGTGTTCCCAGATAAATCTATCATAGTTGCTCAGCCAAAGACAGATGAAATAATTCATATATCCCTCTTCTCACGTTTCATATTAAAATATTCATAACTTTTAGATGGTTATTTTAATGGTGGGCACAATAACTTTCCTATTATTTTAAGAATGTGTACCTGAATTGTGCAATGCTCATCTTTACTCTGTTCTTTCAGTGGATAGCCCATGTTCTGTACGGGTTTGGTGTCCCAAAGAGCTGAAGAGATCTCCTAGAGATATTACGGAACTGGATGTTGTTCTGGCTGAGTTTGAGAAGATAGCAGCAAATTACAAGTAAATATTCTGCTTTCCTATGGCTGAATACTCCAAGTTTTAAATACAAATTACCTGCGTTTTTGCTAATGGGCCGTCCTTTAGGGAATGCAGTATTGCATGGTTCCATTCTGGTGTTATTTTAGTCATTATTAGGTTTCTGTGATACAAATATTTTTTCATCTGTGATCTTGAGGAGATCTCCAGAGATTTGATATTTTTCCAAACGTAAAAACAACACACTTTTGGCTGATGTTTTTCAATGTAGAAATTAAGCTATTGCTAGTACATGAAAGATCTGCAGTTGCCTGTGCTACTAGCTGCTTAACATTGGGTTTTATTCATTACTCAAAGGAATGTTTTTGGATGAGATTTTTCCTTTACTAAACCAAATGGGTTGTGTTTTGTCCCTCTAACTTCTCCAGACAAGGCGTAGAATCGAATGTTTGCAGAAAAGCTATCAATAGCTTCTGTTCTGCTTTCAGGGACCAAATCACCGATCTGGTAAGTAAAATCAAATAAATAAATAAAGTAAATAAATCAAAGTAAATCAACGTTAACAAAGTAAATAAAAAAATAAAATCAATTTTGTGGTAGTGATTATAGAGCTGTATATTACATTGTAGTCAAAATGCCTATGGTTTTATATTGTCCTTTACACATTTATTTTATGATACTTTAAATTTTCTAATCTCTTGTCAGAATAAATAATAGGAAAACACAGTTTGTTCTGTGCAGGTTATGATTTGCTGCCTCTCTGCTGGCTTTCACGAGAATTGCCTTTTGACACAACACTTGCTGTCATGCAAGTACATTGCAAAATTGTCAGCTTTTGAGAGCAGGGAAGCATCTAATAATCCTGAAGCTTTTGCCATATCTAAAGCATTATGCAGTAAAACTGGAGACCTGCATAATTTGAATGAGCAAACAGTTATGTCAAACACTGTTTTAGAAGCTCGTGGTGTAGAGTTTTAAAAGGTTGATGATTTAATCTTTATACTGCATCTCAGTGACTCTTGTGTAGAGGTCTGACCAAGGCCTGTTACATAGTTCAGGCAAAATCATCTTTTTTTTAATTAACAGTTTGAACCTAGCTGTAAAAAGCATATTGGCTTGGAAGACTAAGATTTCTTCTCACTAATTACGAGTAAAATAAACTCAGAACTTTGTAGAAGCTGTGGTAAGTACAGTGATGAGTACTAAAACTATAATTCTAAGTGATTCATTAGAATGAGCAAGTTTTAAAATGACTAGATTTATACATTTTGCATAAAGTTATCAAAAAATTAAGCTAGGTAGTATTATACTGATTGGTACAAGGAGTATTGCTTGCCCTAACTGGTACAAGATGACTAATTTTGTGCAACATTTCCTCTGCCATGAGGAGAGAGCAAAGAATTAATACACAACTGATACGTTTGTAATCTTCCTTTGAACCAGTGTTGGTTTTTTTAAATAGCTTTTTATGTTATTCCAAAGTAATTCTTGCAACCATGTTTTTAGGAGGATAGAGACGAAATCAAGATCCATAGTCAACCTATAATTCTTCTTTTCCTCTGTAGATAGTGGAAGTCCAGGAATTAAAGAATATGAAGAAAAAAAACGCTAAGGTAAGTACATGTGTATCACTACATTGTACAGCATACAGAGGTGGGCACTGAAATTTCAAGAAGTTGATTAGGAGAAATAAAATAATTCACAAAAAAGTGTACTGTACTACAGAATCAACTGCTGAGATAGAGGATAGGGAACCACCAGAGGTTTTTTGGAAAAGATCTGAGTAAATATGATGAGTCGCAAACTCTCCATACCTATACTGTGATACTGGTGTAAAAAGAAGGAAGGCACAGTAGGATGTGTAGGTATCTATGCACGTGAATTACTCTTTTTTTTTAATGAGCACTGGTGAGGCCTCTGGAGAGCCAATTAAATATTGAGAGCTAACCTTCAAGAAACATAAATGAATATAAAATTTAGGAGAGCAGCAAAGATGGTGACCTGTGAGGATAGAATTAGATTGCTTAGTTTGAAGGAGAGAAGTGTAGGGGAGCTGCGTTCCCTAAACATATGCAAATTTGTTGTTCAGGGGAAGGCAGGTCCTCTGTTCCTTCAGAGTGAGTGGTAATTGACTGGAAATGTAACAGGGAAATGTTGATGAGGAGGAAGTAGTGTAAGAGCAGAAAAACATTGCAGTGGTTTCATCAGGAGAGAGGTGAATGCCCTACAGCAGAGATATTTAAGAGCAGGTTAGGCATTGTCTGCCAGAGGCTTCTGCCCAGATGAACATCTTCCACAAACTTTTCGATGACAAAAAATAGCTTTTAACAAGTAAAGTCAACACAAAACTTATTCTGGGAGGTAGCAATTAATGTACTAAAGTCTTGTTAATTTGAGGTGGGTACGGTAAGCTACTCTGCATGTAAAATGAAAATTTTAATACGTATCTAGCATTCACAGCCACTCAGAGTTATCCTTATTTTGCCTCTTATACATTTGTTTAAAATCAGATTTGTAGTTTGTAAATTTAAATTTATGATTAGTTTGGGGTTCTTTTTGTTGTTTGGTTAGTTGTGTTTTGTTTTTTTTAAATTGGATGTTGTATTAAAGAAAGCTTAATTATGCTTAGTTATGGCAATCATGCTGAACATACATTTGTATTAGTCTGCATTTTTAAAACAGAAACAAACAAAAACCTGCTAGAGTTGGTCATGTTTGAGTTCAAAATGTCACAAGCTCCTTTTGTGTGCTAGTAAATCCAGTGTGCCTTAAGAGAAATTTTGCATGGAGATGAGTTTGACATTTTAAAGAGCTTTAAAGTCTTTAAAATACAAATGTAAAATATGGCAGTTTATAAAGTATGGTATTTTGGAATTTTCCACACCCAGAATTAGAAGCATAAAACCTCAAAAAAAAAAAAGCCAATGAAATTTGAGTTATTTGCCTTTGAAGTTACAGAAACCATTTCAAAGACTTCCCTCACTGTTTGTTTCAGATAATAACAGACATCAAAAAGAAAAGGCAGCGACTGTTGCAAGTCAGAGAAGAGCTAATTGGGTATGTTTCTAACGATGCACAATAATAGCTTGAAAAACTTAAGAAGTCTGGTATTTTGTAACTCAGAAGTGAAAGTAACTTTTTTTTGTTCTTTCATCTTATTTTGATGAAACTCAACTTCTGTATTATTTTCCATTTTTACAAAAGCTCAGGATAACTTCTCAGTATTGCAGTTGCCTGGATAGTCATTCTTGCAAGTTCTCTTCACTAACTAGTTACTAGGACGGTATTTCAGACCATACATTCATAAGAAAAACACTTAACGTTACAATTGGAGTTGCAAAGGTGATGAATCATAAATTTACAAAGGTAATACAGAGGGCTTTTTAGGTTTTGAAGTAGGAGAATGTATTTCACCTGCAATTTGGAAGGGATGCCTCTGACTACGTGGTGTGCTTCCAACTCACGTGGCCACACAATTCGCCTTCTCTAACTTGGCATGAATCTTCAGTATCGTTTAGATAGGCAACACAGAAATTATGTTCTTTGGAAGAAGCATTAACCTTCCCCAAATCCAGTTGGTTACTAGTGATGAGTTTTATGCTGAAGCTGCATGTAACATACATGCTATAAGTTAACTCTGTAGAGAACCATGGGCTCTGATCCACAAAGGCAGATTAAAAGCCCTTTGTCTATGGCTATGAGAGTCTTGTTTTCTTTGCCATACTATGGACAAACTTCACCCAAAAAACTAATTAAAGGCATCCCTCACAGATTGAAAGCTGTCTTCACATTTTTTATTTGTTGTGTTTTAATCCTTTGATCCTCTTAAGAAAGCTTTTTTGCTGCAACACTGTTAAATGAAAATGGCTGTTGGCGTTCACTTTTTGGAGGGCTATTTTAATGGATTGAACCCTCTGATTTACTTATGCAGAGGCATGTGTAGTTTGTAGATCCCGAGTATGCTTCAGCATGAACACCTCGGCCTGCAAGCAGGTGCACGCAGAAGCAGAACACCAGGTACTTCAGAAACTTCACCTGAAAACATTACATGCTTAAGAGAGAGGGGCTATCTTGTCAGACTCGAGAGAGACATGTAGAAAAAAGTCTGGGGTTTTTCTGTGGATTTGGACCCATGCTCCTGTTTAAATAACACGCTAGTTGTTCTGATTAAACAATTATGTTAGTCTAACCTATGTTTTATATTTCTGACCAACCTTTCCCCTTAGGTCTTCTTCAGAGAAAATATATTCATAGTTATTTGTGAAATAAATATGCAGATATAGTCATCAAAGCCTTGATCTTTTTCAGAGCTGAACCACAACTGATACAACTACAAAGAGAATATGCTGAGGTAGAGGAAAGGAAATCTTCCTTGAGGCAAGCAACTGAATTACTTACTGATTTAAAGGAGCTACAGCAAGACTGTTTGGATTATAGAGAAGAAAACCCAAACAAAAAAGTGGTAGTAAGTACATATTTTGCATGTGCTTTTCTGAACTGTGCTGGATCAGCTCCCCAGCCCTTTTTATTTTCCTGGACTGATGGGCATTTCTATTAATGCTTAACTTACATTAAATAGCAGTATTTTGTTAATTGTCTTTGTGGAAACAACTTGAGTATCATTGCTGTAACTGTACGGTAGTATCTCCGTCATTTTTTGGTTTTGGTCTCATGTTAGAAACTAAAGTATTTCAGAGAGGATTCTGCTCCCTTGCTGTCTATGTCCAGGAATTCATTGGACATAGAAGTGTAAGAGTTGTCCTCAGGTCTAACATTTTTTAATAGCAATTGAAAAGATTAACAGTGAGAAACAAGTAAGCAATTTCTTTTGTAGTTATTGTTCAAAAGCAGGGAAAGCTCAGGTACATACAAACGCTGTTCTGTAAGGTATTTAATGCTAAGAACAGCGCTTGTATTTCATGACTGGAGTAACTTCTCACGTAGTCTTAGAACTTCTTTTTCCCCTTTTACCGTGATTCATGACCCGGTGTGGTATTTTCTGCAGACAATGCTAGGTGCCTGCCGTGTATAAGGGAAATCCTACCATTTCAGAAGGCTCTCTAAAGGTTGGCTGTTCTTCACTTTTAAAAATCACGTTGCACCATTTCAGACAGAGGAAAAATACATACAGATATGTACATGACTTTTTTTTTTTCCCCAAGAGTTAAAAACATTGCCTTGTAATTTTATTTCCTTAACAACAGTATGGAACTTCCAGCCTCCCTGCTCTTCTGGTGGAGTCACGGAGAATTCTAGGAGCAGAAAGACACTTTCAGAACATTAATAAGAAACTGGAAGAGGCTCTGGCTGTACAAAGAGGGAAGTTATCAAAGAAAAGTTAAGTGGTTTTTTAATAAACTTTTTGACATTCATTAGGAACAGTTATTAGAATGGTCAGTAGTTAAAGCTTGTTTAATCATTGTTGCTCTATTTTGCTTCAATGTTTAAAAGAAGTCAGTGACTTAATCAGATTGTATCTTTCTATTGTCAAATAGTCTGTGTGAGAACTTACTTGGAATGTCCATGAAATTAATGGAATAGCAATTCCGGTTAAAGTAGTAAAACTTTTCTGTGCTCTGTTAACAATGTTGGTTTTTAGTCTTGGGCTGTTAATGTGCTCTTGAAAGCAATATATACTTTTAAAACAGAACGCATAGACTTTGGTTGATAAATTTGTATTTGAAATAAATAATTTCCTCTCACTTCTGGAAGTAAAGAAATCTATTTTAATTAGTTTATAAGAAAAACTTGGTCATACAACTAACAAAATAGAAACTGTGCAGCAGAGAGCATTAGAAGTGCTAAACTTGGAGCAGCATTCATGATGAGTTTTCAGTCCAGTACCCTTCAGCCCCCATGCAATCGTCCATGATTTCCTCCTGCCTGTCAAAGATCATCCAGTTGGGATGATACTTGTTTGTCAGCAGTCACTCAGCTCTTTGTCTTACAGCTCTGGAAGAGCGCTTTTGAACTACATCGCGGTCTCTCTCACAAAGAAGGCAGGCGATACGCAGGCTTCGTTGCTAGCAGTCTGTTTGCTAGCAAAGTCTGTGGTTAGCTGCTGCCTTTATTGCAAATGTCTTGTTTCCTGGCAGCTTCCAAAAGAACTTCATCAGGAATTTCTTCCATGGCATAATTCAGACTATCGTTTGCAGCTTCAGCTAGTTCCGCATCTTCAGTAGCTTCTAGGAAACGGGCATCATCACTTGCATTGTCCCACTCATTGTCCGACAACAGGAAGTCTTGCGACAAGCTTTTTTCTAGAGATACTGAGCTTTTTGACAAGTCTGATGCATTAGAATGTGGTTTTACTTTTTCTTCTGTGTTCCCCCTTTCATCCATTAGTGTATACTCTTCTTCCTTTTAGAAAAAAGACTACTGCTACTCATTCCATAGGAAAATGGTCTTCATACCTGTAACTGCTCTGACCTGAAAGTCTGAAACTCGTACTGTCACATATAATGGTTACTACAGACAGCTGGCCAACAAGACAGATTTTCCAGCATGGTAATTTATAGCCACGTTAACCTGTGGAAGCCTGTTTTACTAGGAATAGAAATTTTCTATTTTTCTAGCAAACTACAAGTAGTCAGCTGTATACAGCTTCTTAAAATAATACAAGGTTGAAACTGATTTTAATGTCTTGTTTAAAAATATTGTCAGGATCTGACACCTCCTATGAAATAACACTAATAGCTATTGGTGATCTGCTGAAGTAGAGCTTAATGTGAAATTTCATACTGCAGAATGGCAAAGCATAAAGTGTAAATTTAAAATTGCAAAGACGCCAACTCTTACTGCCTACTCAGTGGAAAAACTACTATGTTCAGGGCTTAGATTCTATGTGTGGTATCAGGTCAGTTTAAGTATTCTACCTGTGTGGGTAAACGTAACTGCTTTAATACACTAAAATGGAGTTAACTGAACTTAAAATTTGAGGGTCACTGACTTAAATCTGACTCTGCCTGACTCGAGTGTTCTGTAAACGCTTCTATTTTAGCTGGCCCAGCATGAAGTCAGACACGCACAGCAGGGCTTAAGTTAGGCAGTTTTTCCATTCTGCACTTGCAGTGGTCTTGTGGTTTAGGCACTGGGAACTGCTGTTCAGACCAAAACAGAAGAAAGTCTTTAGCCCCTGGTGAAGTCAGGCTATTCCAGTAACTTAGCGTTATCTGTGCTGGCAGGTTTTGTGCCAGATCTGCTGCTGGAGAATTTAAAACTGACTGTGTGGAGCTACCACACCAGCAGAACCACTCTGGGGAGCTTTTGGGACTGGTGTAACTACTGTATGGAGCTCAGCAGGCGGCGTTAGTGGGGATTTTCAATGACTTGCAGAGACAGCTGGACTCACGAGCACTTTAGCATATCGATAGGACAAAAACATACCTCTTTGAAAAGAAATGGGAGACATATCCTAGGTGGTAGTGGAAAACCTAAAGAAAATATATGGAGTTAATTAAAGTTAACATTCCAAAAAAGTATTAAGTATAATTGCTTTGAAATCATAGAATACATACTTTGTGACTTGAAGTTTTTTTCTCTGCAGACTGGATCATGACACTTTTGATACCAGACTTCCTTCTTTAGATCTACCAGAATCCTAGAATGAAATAATTTAGTTTTTAGTAACAAACAGTGTGTAAATGGAAACTCTAATGCTAAATCAACAGGTTTTGTTTGTCCCTATCTATGGATATTGCTTTTGTGCTCTGACACACTTGTGACATACTTGTTTTCTACAGTCCGTTATTTTTTTTTTCAATAAACTTCAGGCTTCTTAAGGTAAAAATATATTTTTTTTAAGACTAACATTTGAAAGTGAAATTTAGTCAACTTCATTACATTAAGCTTGGAAGAAAAAGTCATTACAGTAAGATTAGTATATGGGACCTAACTGTAAGGTAAGATTTGGTTGCTGCTGCTGTTATAGATAATTTCATTACAAAAGCCAGATAAAATCACTGTTTCCTGTCAGCCAAACAGCTTTTTTGAGCTGTGCTTTAGAAACACCCAGCTTCAAGCAACTTGCTTGAGAAACACCAAGTTCACCTAGCCCTAGTGGCTGTGGGTTTGTTTTGGTTTTTTTTTTAACCCTTGCTTCTCAAAAACACATTCCTTATCTTTCAGTTATTTTAAATGTTATATAGGATTACTTTTAAGTTAAAAATATTTCTACTAATGATATACTGCAATTCTAATGTCATCTAAGACACCTGACTTTTCAACACTTATTTGGCTAAAACTATACCAAGTCCGAGTACTTGTAGAGTCACTAGTGAAACTCAGGAGTTACCTTTGTCATTTTGAGAACATAAGAATGTAATTTAAGATGCACTGTAAATCAATTTAAAAGTGGTCTGTTTTTTTTATCTTATTTCTGATTGGCTAAGAAGCATCAAAGCACAGTACCACTTAATAGCTTTAACATACTCTTGACTTGTATGTTAGCATCTTTAGGCACGTATTTTAAATAGCATGAAGATTATTTCATAGAAATATTAGAAATACAAGTTCAGGTATCACAAAGTAAATTTAGAGGGGGGGGTGAAACCGTTTAAGACTGGGCCAGGCTTACAGCAGATGGGAGATGCTCTTTATTAACTCCTTCCTTTCCCAGAATGGGAAGGAGAGAAGAAAAGGGAGAGAGAC